TCTTTTTTGATTCTCCTTGATTCAACCGCCTACAGCATTTTCTAAAATTCCGTAGCAGATCAATTGTAATTGTAGGGTGCGACTTCTAGTAAATATTGTGAGTCCACTGAAGATCCCTAGTGTGACTATGATCGTGTCTCCGGCTACCTCGGCAGGTATTATTCCCGTTGTTAATATCCTGAATAAAAATAACGCCCTGCTTTATGACGAATTCCGCCTAATCCACTTTCTCTATAATATGTTTCCTATGTTTGGGAAACTTACGGTGGACGGTATTTCTGCTGATCCACTGAATAAAACCGGTTTTTTTTTTTATTGAAAGGCAGGCTTACTTTTTGATCAACAATAGTTGCCTCGTTTCGGCTTTATGGGAGCGAAGAGCTGATCGATATTTATGCTCATCGGTCAACTAAAGGCAAATTCACTGTATTTTTTTCATTGAGTGAAAGAGGAATCTGATACATGTAACTTTCAAATTATAACGAAGTCGTTGTCAAGTTCCAAAGCTGTTTCTATACTTCATATCGAAACTCCGTCAATGAAAACTCCAGCCCGCCGTTTGATACAATCAATTTCAAAACGTTGCAAACATTTCGTACAAGTGTATTAGCCGTGTCTCCGAAGTTGGCCTTGAAGGAAATCTTTAGATGTCCACAAGACGTTAACCAACAGAAAGCTGAACCGCGTTACATGTGATATTTGTGAGAGACTGCATCACAATAAACAACGGTTTTTTAGGCAAGCATGTGTAATTAAAGGCCTGCCGGTAATAACGGTGTTGTAAGAAACAAAAGCATTCCACGATACGTACGTAGGCCCAGTGATCGTAATCTTCATATACCAAAAGCTTCAGGTTTTTTATTTTTTTTGTCGCATAATTAGGAAGAGTCGTTTTGAACTAAAGAAGTTGTCAGTTTTCATTAGCCGAACAAAAACGACTCGGATGGCTGCGCCCCATTCACACTTACCAGCATCCGTCTGGGGCCACGGGTTAATAAACTGTGTCTATACATTGAGGTGTACTTGGAGAATTCAACCCCACTGATTTATTGCTTGACTTATACTACCTGACAGGTGTGACTAACTATAAAACACCAACAAATCTTACTATAAGTTTCTTTTAACTAGATGATAAAACAACAAGAATAGCCTCATTCTTCATAGACATAGACATAATTAGAGCACTGCATGTTCCGTAACACGTTTTGTTAAGTTTAATCTTAGGAGAGACATGATAGTCGGCCATGTAAGGCAAATTAGTTTTTTTAGGAATTTCAGAGCTATATTACTGGGCAGTAAATTTTTAACGGGAACGGAGCGTCGTTGGAAATACCCAAACAACCAAACGTCGGGAACTTGCTCTTCCAGATCACAACAAAGTCTACAGGGTCTGTTATGATCTGTAAGAATAACAACCTGCTCTGGAGTGAAGTGTGTCCAACGCAGATTTTTCCTGGAATGCCTAACGTTACCATTGCGGGTCTGAAGGTCATTATGTCGATGGTTAAGCGTATGCAGTTGGAAAGCAGGACAACATATTAATAATCTACGAAGGGAAGACCGGCGGAGAAGTGAAAAGGACCTAAAAGCTTTGGGTAAGGCAAAAATATTATCGTTTCAATCTAAGCTTGACACATGATCCGTTGTTTTGTACATGTATTTATTTGTACTTGTAAACACACAAGTATCTCTTTAGAACAGCTGAGACAATTTGTGTATGACCATCTCGCCTGCCAACGCTCTTCAAGTTTAGACCGAAGTAAAGGTTAGGTCAACTCAGAATTATGAAAACAAATTTCGGCAGGTTCTTCTCGGCATCGCATATTGATCGAAAGCACTTAGTCGGGCTTTAATGGGATATTAACGCTTCCCGAAAATTCACCACCCGCATAGAAAAACATTCACGCGTAAATGGGGGAAGCGGATCACGAAGTACTATGTACAAAATTAATGAACTTGACTGAAAAATTATATCTTTGAATTCTATCATACATAGTCACTTTCTCGTGCAATGTGCCCTTTAGCATTTCAGGAAGATTTTCCAATACTTGCCAAGTATTGGAAGTATGACAAGATAAACAAGACTAAACCCTTTTTGGGGCCCTATCGAGTACAGAAAATACTGGGCTCCTTGGTATTCAGCAAGCCAGTACGCACACTGTCTTTCGCTCACCCGAGGGAACTTAGTATGTTGCTACACAAGCTACAGGTTCATTTTCTGTTTCGAACGCCCTTAAAATTACTAAGCAATTCGATTCCTGCCATTCGTTTGGTATTTTCCCGACTGCCAAACTCGCATTGATGAGCGGCGACTAGCGGGATGCCAGACGCAATGAGCTCTCAGAATGCTCGTTCTACAAAACTTTTTTTTTCAGAAATTCAGAATTTTGAAGTGGCCCACGAACAGTTCACCTATGCAAAGGGTGAAAAGATGAAAAATTCACCTCCCTAAAGATTTTCTGCTCCAGATTTTTAGCACACTGAAAGACACTTCGCATATATTTAGCTTTGGATCATCGCCTTAAGATGCCTGACAAAGGGAATGAAAAAACTTAGAATGATTTTGCATGTTCTAAAGCTAGAACGAATACAACTGGAATAGTAATTAGCTTAAAAAAGGACAGCTAAGGTCACTCACTAAATTAGCTGAAGAGAATCCTTGACAGTTCGAATTACTTTAGAAGTAGCGACAATAGACGCTAGATATGATGGAAAAACGAAATTGAGCCTGAAGATTACCTGGTCAACGGTTATATCGAATTCAGTCGTTAGTAGCAATCTAAACAAAGATGGTTTATTAAAATTTCTTAAACTCGAGAAAACTAAGTAATCTTATTCGAAAATTTCGTATCTGCTTTGACAACGGACGAAATTACCGAATTAAAATTATTGTCTGAAGACTTTTAGAAAAAAGTGGATTTTGCCAAATCGCCGGGAAGTTAATGCACTCATCATCGTATCTAAATGCTTAAAATTCAGCGTCGTTCTTCTTCTCGAAACAGCGGACTACAGCGAATTCTCCAAGAATCCATGCCTAAATTTTTCGGTCACTTAGAAGACTAGCCAACTGGTTACATATATTCATGACCTTTCGTAGAGATTAAATTAGCGTAATTGAGCCCAATTGAAAGCATTTTTAACACAACAGATGACGCGCAGTAAGTAGGCTTAAAGCTTGTCGTTGACGAGACGAAACGCGACTGCCAACAAATAGAATGCAATTCGTAGAGCCAGCATATACGGCCATTAGGAAGCGGAGAGAATAAGTAAAAGCAGGTTAAGCCTACAGATGCAAAGCTATTATTTCAATTTCTAAAAATACCTAACTTCAGGTTCTCTTTCCAACAGAATGCTACGAGGAATAACGATTTACTTAAGAACATTTTAAGAAGTAGAGGAAGGCTACATAAATGATTTAAAGACCGTATGTGTGGTACGTATGTATCGTGTTTAACGTCATCGAATAAATATTGGAATCAGTCTCGAATCGAGGCTCAATGATATGGTATCCCAGGTTTAGTGGGCAAGAGTAGTACAATACCTGAAAATAACCTTATTGGAAGAAATTTGCTCTGTACAATGGGCCAGCCTTCTACTTCCTTAAAAACATTCCACAATAGGTGTTAACGGTAGACCTAAGTGGCCGTTGATAGCAGTCGCATCAACTGAAGGTGGAAGACAGACAGCGGTTGTTTCACAGTGATGTTACACAGGGCCTTGAAAGCTTCATTTAGTATCAGTGGATTACGCATTATCGTGCATACTGCTCGTAGCTTTTTATGAACAATGTGAAAGATAGTTTAGAAGCACTGAGAAGGGAGGCCCGTGAGCAGCTGTATTTAGCGTCAGCTTGTGAAGTGTACCCCATAAAAGAAAATATATCCAGATAAGGTAAAAATCTCGACAGTTAGATCCCTGTGTTCTATCTCTCGAAGCAGCACGAGAATACAATGCAGTAAAAATGTGGGTAAAAAAAGTTACGTCCCTAAATTTCCCTAGATTTTTTTCAAAACTATCAAAATATTCTTGTACTAACCTATATACACCAACAACTAATTGCCATAGTTGAAAAAATAATCGACAGTAACTCCTCTTCTTCCATCGCTGTTAAAACAAACAGTTGCCTTCATAGGCAGACGGCGCAGGCGTGGCAAAAAACGCAGTGGTCAATATTGCGTCATCTAAACTGAGTTCATCGAATAGGAACACCTTAGAGGCTCTAGTCTTGAGGTACTGGCCCAAATTCAGTTCATGGCCCATGAAATTACAAGGCCTGCATGTTGTCAAAATCAAGTTGTGAAAATTAGACAATTTCCATTGAAGTTGAGCAACTCCGGTCAAAGGTTTACTTGGGCCGTATCAGCGATTTTCTGCTCAAGGAAATGGAATCAGATCTACAAACAGCGTTCCACAATTCTGCAGCACATTGAAAGTGTCAAGCACAGCTTCACATGCTGTACGAAGCTCTATTCATTGTAAAAGGGAAATGCGATTTAAGCTTCTTGGCTTCGACGAAAAACAATACATTGGAACTGTTTGGCACACTCTAGTCCTACGGGTTGGTTAGGAGAATAATTCAGACAATAAGTATCCTGAATATCCTGAATTCCAACCTGACGTAGGAGACACTGTGAGGCCATTCTACAACAAACGAGACACCAACCAGGATTGTTTACTAAATGTTTAGCGGAAAGCTATTGACGGAGAACATCATTATCACCTAACAAGAACTCTTCGATATGAACACAGAACCGGATAAAATGAGGGACGATAGCCATAACGCCAGGCAGACGACCTCATAACTCTTTACCTTTGGACATATATTACTGAGTGCCGCACTGCTCCCAAAGACAGACAAATGTATGTGAGGGAACCAGAGAATTTTTCAAGATACAAGATAAAGTTGGTATCGGACTCGTCCTCAAGAATACATATACTAATTTTTGTATATACATATACATACATTTATATACATATAGGAACGAACACAGAAACATAACAGCAAAGGATAACGAAGTACTTGCAAAATTGATATAATGATACAATGGGTAGTGCATCAAGTTTTACCCAATGACGGAAAGTAAGAGCCCGGTTAGACGGTTCGTCCGAAGCACTATCAGTGTAATCATAAATACATTCAGTGCATGCATTCCACCGCCTCGCAGACGACGGCGACCCTCATCCGATGATGGCTCTGATCATGAGGTTAACATTGATCTATTGCAGGACATTGAATCATCGGTTGTTAATCCGGGTCAGCTTAGAGCTCTATGGGACCATTTGCCACTTTCATGCCAAGCACGAAATCCAAAGATGGTGTACAACAGCCAAAGAGATGGCACGTCGCTGCAGACTTTCTTCAACAAGGTTGAGGGACATGAGCACACCCTTGTTCTCATCCGATCGAAACGAGATGAGGCTTTCGGGGCATTCTGTTCTGGTGATTGGGAACAACGTAAATCAGCTCGCGGAAGGTCGTTCGGTAAAGGGGAAACGTTCGTCTTCAAATTCGGTCAGGATGACACGAATGAAGACGAACTACGTGTGTTTCACTGGGTCGGACTTGGACTACCCAATCGAAAAGCTAAAGGAGATATCTTTCTATCGATTATTCGTAATATGGTGGCCATCGGTGGAAATGCATTAGTATTTGGTGGCGAGAACGGAACTACCGAGAAATCACGAACATTTAACAATGAGCCATTGACGGAAAACGGCGAATTTGAAATCGCAGTTCTTGAGGTAATCGTTTTTCCCCCCGAAGGATATTTCGAGTGGTCTGCAACAGCGACACCGATTTCCACGATTATTGAGAAGGGCGTAGCAAACCGGAGAATTTCCTATAGACACTGGGGTCCAAACTTTTGATAGCTGTAATTATGTACACTTTTGGAGAAGATATGTGAAAGCTTGGCGTACGCCTTTGAAAAGTGGTTCACAGAGACGTCACTTCGTGTGCTTTCAAAGACGGTGGAAATCCTACTTCGCAATAAGACAACCTCTCGGTAAAGGTTGTAATGTGTCAGTTGCTCGGTTTCGGCTAGAATCAGCAGAGGGCGTAGTCGCCTTTGCAACATGGCGATTCATCTACGTTCATCGCTGTCTTTCGTGTCTCTCAGGAGAAATTTCGGGTGTACGGGTTGTAGCACCTTAATTGGCTGTATTATTGTCACAGGCATTTGTGACTATTTGAGACATACATATTATTATTTGTTAATTAAAGTGGCCTCAATGTAGTCGGGAGTATTATGGACGCCGACGCGTAAGCTACGGCTGAGAAGGACAATAAATTTATTCGATGTCCATTCCATCAAAACGTCGTCAATTCCATCAAAACGTCGTCAATTCCATCAAAACATCGTCAATTCCATCAAAACTCGTCAATTCCATCAAAACATCGTCAATTCCATCAAAACATCGTCAATTCCATCAAAACATCGTCAATTCCATCAAAACATCGTCAATTCCATCAAAACATCGTCAATTCCATCAAAACATCGTCAATTCCATCAAAACATCGTCAATTCCATCAAAACATCGTCAATTCCATCAAAACATCGTCAATTCCATCAAAACATCGTCAATTCCATCAAAACATCGTCAATTCCATCAAAACATCGTCAATTCCATCAAAACATCGTCAATTCCATCAAAACATCGTCAATTCCATCAAAACATCGTCAATTCCATCAAAACATCGTCAATTCCATCAAAACATCGTCAATTCCATCAAAACATCGTCAATTCCATCAAAACATCGTCAATTTCATCAAACATCGTCAATTTCATCAAATTCATCGTCAATTTCATCAAATTCATCGTCAATTTCATCAAATTCATCGTCAATTTCATCAAATTCATCGTCAATTTCATCAAATTCATCGTCAATTTCATCAAATTCATCGTCAATTTCATCAAATTCATCGTCAATTTCATCAAATTCATCGTCAATTTCATCAAATTCATCGTCAATTTCATCAAAACATGGTCAATTTCATCAAAACATGGTCAATTTCATCAAAACATGGTCAATTTCATCAAAACATGGTCAATTTCATCAAAACATGGTCAATTTCATCAAAACATGGTCAATTTCATCAAAACATGGTCAATTTCATCAAAACATGGTCAATTTCATCAAAACATGGTCAATTTCATCAAAACATGGTCAATTTCATCAAAACATGGTCAATTTCATCAAAACATGGTCAATTTCATCAAAACATGGTCAATTTCATCAAAACATGGTCAATTTCATCAAAACATGGTCAATTTCATCAAAACATGGTCAATTTCATCAAAACATGGTCAATTTCATCAAAACATGGTCAATTTCATCAAAACATGGTCAATTTCATCAAAACATGGTCAATTTCATCAAAACATGGTCAATTTCATCAAAACATGGTCAATTTCATCAAAACATGGTCAATTTCATCAAAACATGGTCAATTTCATCAAAACATGGTCAATTTCATCAAAACATCGTCAATTTCATCAAAACATCGTCAATTTCATCAAAACATCGTCAATTTCATCAAAACATCGTCAATTTCATCAAAACATCGTCAATTTCATCAAAACATCGTCAATTTCATCAAAACATCGTCAATTTCATCAGAATGCCGTCAATTCCATCAGAATGCCGTCAATTCCATCAAAATGTCGTCAATTCCATTAGAATGGTGATTTTATCGGAATCGCCGCCTTTGCGTTTTTTATTTCGGCTGTGTTACTCTTTGTTCCTATGGTATTTACCTTTCGCAGTACAAATCGGTTGTATCCCAACCTGTTCACCACTTTATTTGCATACTTGGCAGTGCAGAAAATTGGTCCACCCTATTTTCGCGTGGCTGACATAGCCGATACAACGCAGCATCACTAGACCCTTGCTACTTCTAGTAACTAAAATTACATTATTAATGGCTATCGAATTATCTTAGACCAGTTACAGTTTTCCCCTGGCTCACCTTTCGCACTTCTCTGCGTGCATCTCTAGAATACATAAAACGAGCTAACGGTTTACTAATTTATAAAAAGGTTTATAATTAAAAAGCTAATTAAATATTTCGATTTGTATATATATACACATATGTGTATATATATATATATATATATGTATACACATATATATACACATGTGTGTATATGTATATATGTATGTGTATATATATATGCGTATATATCATACGTATATATATGTACACATATGTGTATGATGTCTATACATACAATATTTCTACATGTGAAGTCGACGCAGTAGTTTGCAAAAGACCAGGGTTCAGAGCTTCAAGTTCCACCACGAATAGTTATCATACTTATCATAGCTATATACAAAAATATATAGGTATATATATATATATATATATTTGCGTACATGTTTGTCTTAAGATACCTTCAAGAACATAGAACTTAAATCTACGGGATTCTACATAGTTCCGATTGTGGCTGTCCTCCTTTCTAAACCAGAAACAATTATTGCGAGTTAACAGCTTGCTCGACTTGTACGATGATCCAACGCGCAGGTTATCGTGGAAGTATTGAAAGGTTGCTTAAAGTCCGCTTAACAAAGCATATTTGTAAAAAGTTCGCTCGTGCTTCATGGATGTGTCACACGGAATACTTCAACGGAGCTTCTAAGGTATCCCACGAGCTAACCTAATTACTATTCATTTACTTAAATTAAAAACTAAATTAAAAAAAAAACACTGAACTCAACTAGCAACAGTCTTTGTCGTTGACCAAATCATGCACATCTGAGCATAGGCTTAGCCTAACCCGAGTGTCAAGTAATTCGGTGCCTATGAAAGCAGAACCATGACCTGATAATATACACAGCGTACAGACATCTCCGTTCAATGCCGCGTCAATACTGTTGTATAAGAAATAGCCTTGCATGTAAATAGTATACAGCATTTACTGGAAATAACCAACGATTCGTTTATGAACATTTTTTTCGAAAAGCGGATTTTACATATTAAACAAGGCTCGGTTGATCCATTTATTTGGGAACACTGTCTCCTATTAAACAATGAAAGCTTCAAATGAGGCAGTTACACCTACACACCGAGCATTCTAGGAGACGCACAGAAAAGATCCCGCAGTCGGTCCAGAGCATCGGAAGACTCTTGCCATAATAAACTGCGGGTAAGGGAGGGCGTGAACAGGGGGCGACCATCACATGAGTACTTCGTTCCCGAGCTACAATGCATTTATCTGATAGTCTATATAAATAGGAGTCTCCCTTGCGCATCTTTGCGGCGAATATTAAGGGGATTAGTATGCCACAGAGGACCTTTATGCCGTCTAGCAACTTGGTGCAGCATGTGCACCCATAGCAGCACGATATTTTTATAATCGCTCTTTATAATAATGTTAGCCATGTTGTACGAGAAGTTCTCATCTATTATGGATATGGCATAATGGGACTGAACAGAGTGATTCTTCCACTTTTCAACTAACGACACTACGCTGGCATCAGTAGATATCAGGTGAACCGGCCTTGCCTGAGTATGCCAGAGCCGTACTTAATGGCCATACCATTAAATAAACAAACAAATCGAAAACAGGCCTTTTTGTCAGACGGACGGACGAACAGACATCACATTAGCGCGTCTACTTGCATAATATACCGTACATAAGATTATATGACGCCCAAACATAATATGTACAACGGTTTAGAATTAGACGGGCTGTCGATTCAACAAGCGTCCCCACATCTGTCGAACAGTTGGTCCCTCCAAAGTCGTGGTATCTTATCTGATGCCATTTTCAAAGTACAGCGCGTTCATTACTTCAAATAGGACCGAGGCACCGAGGTACGATAGCCAGCATCAAAATGGAAAAGAAGGGATTCGAAGAGCTATTTTCCATAATACTATTGCTGTAATAACATAAAACTATTGCTGTCCCAGTAAAAAATCAACTTGCCTAAGCACAGCTAAGTGAGACATTACATTGGAATCCGTATTTGCGCGATGTTGTATCGCGATTTCAATAAAGCCATAATTAACAGTCCGGATTCGAAAATAAAGAGCATTAGGCCTTGGATAAAATCTATGGAAGTTTGTGCCCAAACACGGTGATGTTTTCTCTTCGTTTTACTAGATTACCTGAAATTAGAACACGTCTGTGTTATCGAAACGTGCCCATTTTGTCTAATGCCTTATAACAGGTTGTACAGGACATCCTCTATATACAAGACTTCCTCGGAAAGAGGTTAGAACCTAAACAAGAAACTTAACATGTCCAATCCAAACTTATTTATCTAGGAAGCGTTTATAGTAGATGGTAAACGAGCAGTCGACTAATCCGATAAGTGGCTTGCAGTGATTTCTTTGATCTGGAACAATGAGAATTTGAGGAAGTTGCTGCATATGCGGTAAGTTCAACTTGCTACTAAACTTCTCCTGAGAAGATTCACAGTCATTATGTAAGAAAAATTCATTTTATGTATACCAGGCTCGATATTAGATCTCTTAGACTAAAAAGCAGCCATTCATTAAACTACAGCAGCTAAACAGTTATAGTGAACGTTTCAGTGGGGGCTAGTGGCCATTATTGAATATATCTCATTATGTTCTTTAGGCGTACCTAATAATAACATTATGGCCCAATTTACAGTCGAGCTTGACGTGGCCATAAGGAGGCAGCGAACTGAGAGGACTGCCAAATCCCTATAGATGCCATTCAATCAACGAAGTTCCGGCTAACCTAGAACTGGGACATATTTTTTTTTCAAAGATACTCTGTAACGCTAGTTTGAAGTACATAGTTGACGTTTGCCTCGGCTAGAAATAATGCATCATTTAAATAACTCAATTTAAAAATACCACAACCTTAAATTAAAAATGTTTCACCGAGTAGTTCGCTCAAATCGTTCGACATGGATTATATGATAATTTGCTATCACGTGTAAGTTATAGATGCATCTATTTCTGTTTTTCTTCTCATAGTTTTCGTCCACTTCTCCGTCAACCTCTTCGCCATATTCTGTCCTATAAATACGAGGTTCTGTTTACCGCGTATTGAACTGAGAAGCGAAATCTGTTCGTTCTCACGTCTGAAAAAATGGCTTTGACAATGCCGCAACTACACTGCGTCCGAATTAACCAACTATCTTAAAGAAAGACGAATGGTAAAGATAAAAGACAAGGGGACGGGCCAGGATAATAGGCCACACATGAAAAAATTGGAAAATTATGAGCTCACGTCTAGAAATGTTTAGGATATGGCTGCATTTATCGCAAAAGAACCCTAGAAGGACGCGCGGCGCAGGCAGCAGGCCCGAACACAGAACGAACGAACCGTGATTGAGGAATG